AAGGTAGATCACGCTGGTATATTTAATTTATCATTTTTAGGACATGTGCACATTTCATTCGGAAATCGCGATTACTTCTTTTTTGTGTGTTAGAGGTCATGTTATTCCTCATGTAAAAAGAAGGAACTTAGCCTAGTACGTCTTCAAGTTCGATTGAGAAAGAATCTTAATATTCTCTGACCGCCGATTAAGCACTTAACAACTGCTGCTCATGCTGGTCGAGATCCAATGCTTATAATAATTTTCAGTCAATGGGTCTAAGAGGGGCACCCAGAGCAAGGTACAGAAACTCAACCTGCCTTTCCAGAGCGGTGGACTAATTGCATCACCTTGGTTACCTACTTCAGATGATACCTCGAAGCAAGTTTAGGAAAGCACTTGGATATCTAGGAAAAATACAGTTTCAGGTAATATAATTGTTTGCTTTAATATACTAGAGCTGTGCTGTATAAACAATTGAGTGGAAAACACACACACACAAAAGCATCTTCTAAGTTCTATTCTGTGAAGTTGTCTTCTTACAGTTGAAGCAGATATCCGTCTTCTGGTTCCTGAAAAATTGTCCACAGCAAGCTGAAATGCAACTGTGGTTTTTCTCTTTATGCGCGAAAAGAGTAGAAAGAAATCATCAGAAGGGACAGCAAGTTATGTAAGAGTTACCGGTCTTCTAGAAACTATAAACTCGTAAGGCACTGATTGCATAACCTATTGACAACTCTGCTTCTAATATTTAACAATTTTATCATTTTTCACCGAGACATCTTCTTTTCATCTAGCCTATTTTTTGTCTTATTAGTGTGCAATATTCTAGTTAAATTTGTAATCCTTGAAAGCTAGAGTACTTAAGAACTGTGTAGCGAATAGTTGCTGAGTTCTTACTTAAATCTCAAGTCCAAAGAAGGGTTAAATTTGCTTTTTATTCCAACTCAAGAATGATTCATGGATAGCCCCTTTTCGGGCTCAGAGTAAGCCTCCACTTGGGCTTTAACTCAAGACAGAAAATAAGAAACTAAACTAAAACCAGCCGAAGGTGCACAGATAACAGAGATGGCACTTGTTTATGAATACAGGCGAATCATAGTGAGATTAGATTTTTAGCAACAACATGGTCAGAAGGCAGAGCATGCTCTCCTAAGCCTCTACTAATCTATTCTAAGCTCTTCTAGTAAAGTGACGGAGGCTTCAACTTAAATAATGGTTTCTACCTCATTTACATAATAGCATGAAATCATATAAATGCTTTTCTTGCTTCGTATTATTACATTATACTAAGATTCGTTATACAGTTACCTTTCTACTAACTGTAATTCTTATTCTTCTTGCTCTTTTTTGAATGCTATGTAAGAAAACTGTTTGTTCTTTAGCTTTTAGAGGGCAGTGTATCACAAAAAATGTAATAATTTTTCAAATTAGGCAAAAATGCAATCTACATTGGCGTAGATTTTGAATTATAGATTTCAAGCGCGATCATAAATTTCAAGGGCTGTCAGACACACCTCTCTCTTCTTCAGGAACAAAAATAATTTTGCTTTCAATTAGATTGTGCAATTTGTGTAATTCTAGAAGGAACACAAAAATTATTTATTAAAACATATATATAATGCGTAGTTTTTTGCCATTTTACTAAGTAGTACAGTAAGTAGTACAATCGATTATTGATTATCAGGTTTTGGTTTGGTTTATTTAATTATGGCAAAGCACACTAGGGCTATCTGCCTAAGGGGAGGGATGCCTTTGTGGAGGACTTTCTAAGGGAAACTGGCTCATATACACGTTACACATGGGGAAAACCACGAAAACGCCCATGCAGACAGCCCGTTCGCGCGATTCGAACCTCGGACCGAACTACCAGTGTTCAGTGACTTTACCGCTCCGCCGCTGGTGTGCTCGATTGATTATCAGGAGTAATACATAATTAACTCAGCAGAAAAACGTTTTTGTATCATTAGAGTCTTAACTTTTCTGAGACAAGATAAACTTTCTAAAACCAACCATTTGCAAATTAAGAAACATTATTAACTTATAAACTGTATTATTGAATGAGGCTGTAATGGTAAAAAAGGGGATATGACTTGTCTATATAAAAAAATTCACGGATTTTAGATGAAAATTATCCTGCATAATCTGAAATAAGATAAATTTTAAATATCTTGAAACAGAAATGAGAGTAGATGTATTTTATTTTACATATGGAAAAAAAAAAAACAAAAAACCCTCTTAATAGTGTTTACAAAATACTTTGCTTTATAGAGAATACATTGCGTTATATTTGATTATGGGCAACTCCTAACGATTGGAAGGCATATTACAATAATCGTTAATTTAATTAACAGTATTTAGACAATTTATCGTTACAAAAATTTATAATTATGTTAACTGAGATCATTTTGCGAAACCTAAGATATATTAATTTTAAACAATAATATAGTTTTTATTGAAATTCGCAATAAATTTTTCATTCGAACAATTTATTTCATTCATAAGGTATTCCCTAATTAACGAATATTTGGGAAGTCAGGATACTTATTTGAATGTAATTGATTGATGTGATATTTTTTCGTGAATAACAGATAAGAATACTTACATATTAACTGATATGGCTAATGTTTGGAATATGGTAACAGGTAGTTTGGCGACATTTTGGTAAGGCGATAAAGATTACTAGCTAGGACTTTAGCAGTGTACATGGATAAAGTCAAGAGTTTGCGCAATGCCATTTTTGTGCAATTCTGGGATGCTTTTTTAAGTGAAAATAGGTCGACGTGTACATGGATACCGTGTATGTGCAATTCTTAAAAACGCGGCTAGCAGTTTACGATTCTGCACTGTCTCCCAATTTCGCACCTAATCTTCGTCATGATTAAGCACTTTTGTTCCATAAAAGTTCTAGCATAAGCGTAATTTGGCTAGCAAATTGTTGGAAAAAAAAATGTTGAGTTAAAAAAAAAAAAATGCCTTTACTTCGTGAAAACAAAATGGCGTCCAAACAAGAACTAGCAGATTGCTGTAGCAGGGTTGGTCGCCAAATTACCATAATCCAAAGATTAACCACTGATACCGCTGCCTGGCACTGGAAATATTGTAGTGGGTTAGCCAGCTTTACTTCTCACTAAAAAATTATCGTTAATTTCTAAGATGCTCTCTGGTTTTGCTTATTTTTAATTTTTCATTCTCCTCCCAACATTCTATTAAAGCATGACGTTATGCCTTAGCAGTAAACGGTAAATAAATCTTAATCCAATAAATGTAATCCAACTTCTTTTTAAACCAGTTTTTCTTTCTCTTTTTTTATGCTAAGTTCACATCAATATTAGCAGTTAGTGATGTAAAAATTTAATTGCATTGAAACTGGTACATCTGAAATTATTAATCATTACAACGTAATCTTATAAAGAGAAACATCTTCTATTTTATTTCTTTGTAAATCTCAGAAACCCGTAATTGAGAAGAAGGAAGAAAGCGTTATGAAATTTTTTTTACAAAACTACGAACAGGGAACATGTCAAAACAAACAGAACAACATTGAACTCTTTGTTAGCGGAAAAATGGTTACGGTTGTAGATGATTTTAACCAAAGAACTTCTAGGATTAAGAAAGGAAGCTTCGCCAAAGCAAAAGTGGCTCCGTCAGACCGAAGAAAGAAAATTATACACAAAGTTTACTTTACAAGAATTATCAATCCAGCCTTAATGCCTTTTCGTGCATGCGCGAAATAGCTGTCGAGTAGGTGTCGAAGGTCAAAGGTCACATTTATCAAGAGTTCAGACTTCAGTGACACCATTGCCCCTCCGTATCTATGTAAATCAAATCAGTGATCCGCGCAAATAGATTATTCATTTTGAGTGAAAAAAGCCTAAGAAAATCAGAGTTTAAATTATCACAAAAAATATTGTCAAAGAAGTTGTTCTATAAATGACTTGGTTTTGTTCCGTATTTCTCAATTTCCTGTACATCTGGCCAATCGGGCCACGAGAATTTGTCCCTCCACTACTTAGCAATGGAGCAATAAACTGGTAACGACGCAGTAGTAAAAAACTTCCGCAAACGTTGCGTCTGTGGAAGCCTTTCTTCTTAGCCAAATAATCCTTGAATGCTTTGCCGGAAATAAATCAAACCTTTTTCTTTACATGCGCGTTCTTTGGTTGTTGTTGTCTTGTCCATATTACATGGCCAATGGTTGCCAGAGCCTACCCCGAAGAGAGTTTGGATTTCTATTTTCCATCTCCAATTTCGAGGGAAAGCACCCCGGGGGGGGTTATTCGAAGGTCTCTCACCCTCTCCCTTTCTAACAATCACACGAGAGGATTTTCGGCTCGTCGCATATTTTGAGTGTCGCCATGTCGCACCGACACTGTACATTTACAAACATCCATGTCTTCTCCGGGATTCGAACCCGAGCCCTTTGGTAACATAGTAGGCTCCCTTAACCACTATACCGTCTGGGTGACGTTCTTTGGTTGTAACCCAGGTCATAGACAATCATATTTAGACATCTAAGCACTGATATTAACGAAGATACAAAGAGAGTTGTATTGCACTAGTTTCTTTAGAGAAGACATTGAGTCAGTAACGTCACGCAAACGCAAACCTTGGATATAAGGAGGAGTGAGATATACAATTTATATCTGGTCTATTTGCACGGTCATCGCCGACGGATATCAGCGGCATCAGTGAAACTCGTGTATCAAACAAAAGATTTTTCTGAAGTTAATTTGCATTATATTTAATTATTAAACGGAAGTGAATCACTGAAACAAGATTAAAAAATTTTTTTTGTCTAAATAATATGTTTCCTAAGGCATTAAAACGCCCTTGTCAGTTATATATAAAATGGAATTGCTCGTAGCATTTGTGGGTTAAATAAATATTTTCTACCTAAATAAAGTATGTTGCCTGAGGCATTAAAATGCCTTTGTCAGTTATAAATAAAATGAAATAGCTCACAGAAGTTATGGATTAAATACTGTTTAAACTAATAAAATGATCTGAAATAAACTTACTCAAAAAATTCCAACGCTGGAGAAGTCCTGTTAGCTCTGAATGCGGACGTGTTAAGAGCAGAGGCAGCATCAATAATATATCCACTGCCATTTCGACTTTCCCAGCAACGTTCGGTATTCCAAGGATTGTTGCAACGTATCCATGGCAGCTCGGCAGAGAAGGATATGAACATGTAATACAACGTCCAAGCGATGATGACGTTGTAGTAGAAGGATACATACCATGATACCAAGACACAACAGTACCCAACTCCTGAAAACACGAAAGTTGTTAGAAACATTTACAATATAAATTTAACAATCCATTCACTTAAAGAAATTAGCGAAATAAAGTATTGACAAAGTGTAATTAAAACTTCTTGAATTATGATAACTCAAATTCATGCATATTGAATACATATTCATGCTTAATTTATGTTTCGTCTACATTAACTTTGCGTAAATTACAGGAGAGTCGTTTCGGTAGAATCGAATAATAATAATGACTTAGTAGTGATAATGACAAAAAAAATTTTACTAACAGCAATGTGTGTTTTTGACTGCCAATCAAATCAGGCAAATTCGATGTCTAATACGTACGTAATAGACACAGAATGTGTTTTCACACTGGAGAAGAAACATGCAAATGTAAAATTTAAAATTAGGAATAAAAAATGGCTTAGATGTTGAATAAAACTCTATTGATTTCTGAGGCGATTATACGCAGGCCCCTCTTCTTCAGTTTTTTTGAGGACGTGGGAGGAGTTATACCATTTTATATGGAAAGACACGGGCGGAACAAAGTAAAAACGAACATAGTGCCAGCTGTCGAGAAAAATAGTTATGAAGCCTGAAACTTATGATATTAAAATGCTGAAAGCATTAAGAAGAACAGAATCAGATTTACTTTTATTACTTGAAGAAGATAAATTTTTATGAATATGAAAAGCTTGAAGGAAATCCACTCATTAACTGAAGAAGCATTCTGGACAATTTTTGCGGAACAAAAGTCGAAATTCTAATTGAGTGCCCAGACATAATAATGTATGGAAGCTTTGTTTAGCTCTCCTTTTCGAACACAAGATTCGTGTTCTTTGACACGAGATTTTAATGCTCTTTTATTTTGGTCGGCGTTTGTCGAACCACATTGACAACAAGATATGTTATAAATTCTGCAAGAATTAAAATAAGAAAAGAAATATCGAAGAATTACTTTCTTATGAAATCAGTTACTTGAATATGGTTGTTGTTGTTAAGAAATCCCTGTAAGCTAATTTTGATGTGCCTCAAGAAGGAGTTCTTCTGTACATAAAGAAACCGTTTTAGTTGACGACGTAAAGAAGGTTGCATATGAACCACTGTACATTCACAGAATAATTTTGTTAATTTGAAATGTCCTTTTTTATAGCCATTCGTAGAGCATTTTTTTCCACGATCACTGATAAAGTTTCACTATAAAGTTTTATTTTGTTGTCATTAAAAAGACATTCCTCTATCAGAAATAACCATATTAAGTTTGTCATCATTTCATTCACCCTTTCACCGTTCCTAAAAGTTCAGTTTTTCCATCAGTTTCGTTTTGTCGCTTTCATTTCTCAACTATAAACAAAATTCATTCTTCGATTCTTAAAGATTCCTTTTATGACTTTAATTCACGGGGAATATAAAGCATATTTTGTCAGTGTGGCTTGACATATACCGGCCAAACTGAAAGACAATTAAAATTTCGCGACCAGGAGTACAAATTTTTTATTGGAAAGAAGAAATAAATAAATCTTGCATAGCTATTAATAGTTGGGTATTTAATCACAGTTATGACCTTTTTTTTCTGTGAAAATCATTACTCGTACAAAGCTTCTTCAGTTGGTGGCTAGGATTTCCTTTCTTCCTTTTACTCATTGATAAAAATATAGCTTTTTTTAATTAACGAAAGTAATTTAAGTGCAATTTATTATTCAAGTACAATTTATTCAAGCTTTGAGTATTCTAATACCTTAATATTTCAACTTTAATCACTATTTCTTAATAGCTACATATAAGATGTTACCGATTTCTGGAGCATTTCCTTTCTTAAATTTAATTTGTAATTGTATTTATCAGCATGAAAAATCAGGTTTAGTTTACAATGGCTTTTGTATTTTTATTTTTCAAACAACAATGAAACTTCTCATTGACATTTTTTCCATAGACAAATCACTCTGAAAATGACCGATGTATCTGAGGTCATAAATTAATATAAACACTGAAAATCACCTCTTTAATTCAAGCACATCCACTGCAAACGAAAATCATTTGAGATCGTTAGTAGTTATCTCGAAGAACTTCACAGGATTAATCTTTATAAATCTTTTTAACGACGGAATCACGTACAGAATCCAAGTATGGAGCTGTTTGTTCTAAATTATGCAGAAAATATACTCTGAAAGGCCTAAGAAAATTACGTACCTTTAAATAATGGGCAAAATTTCCACACACTAATTGGTCCTTGTCTATGGTACTGCCCCAACACAAGTTCCATGTAGAATAAGGGCATAGCTCCGAAAAATAACATTAGAAGATAAGGAATCAGGAAAACACCTAAAAGTAATCGTTATATTTAATTAAAACTTAAGTATTTTAGTAAATTTACACAATTTAAAAAAAAAGGGGGGGAAAAATTCTAAATAAAATAGAACTGACACGAAATGTGCAGTGATACGATCGAAAGATTTCATACATCTTCATGAATTTGCTCATAGGAGATCATTGAATGAATTAGGGATACTATACTACAAAAAGGTTTTTCGATTGTAAGTTGGGCATTTGTTATTTCGATATATAAGATGAAATTTACCGAAGGAAATGGTATTAATAGTCATTTTAATTCAGAGAGTTCTAGGGAAAATCTAGAAAAGTTTAATTCATTTTCCTAAAATATTAAACGCTTCTTTCCCCTTCCTAGCTTTTTGGATGTATGCTTTTATGGTAGTTGTTGAGCAATAGCGTTTAGTATTTATTTGTATTTGGAAGCGTGTAGAGTCATTAGGTTATTTTGAAGCAGGAGATATGAAAAATGTGCAATGCCCTCACCGGAATTCAAACTTGGACCTCTCGAATACGTGCCGAGTGTGCTACCGTTACACCACGAAGGCATGCTGGAAGGAGGGACAAAATACAAAGGCGACTGGAAATTAGGAGACCCAATCGCTAAATCCTGATGGTGATGAATTGTCTCCACCACCTTTTAGTTCGGGTGCCACTTGTAGAGTCATTAGGTTATTTTGAAGCAAGAGACGTAAAAATTTGCAGAGCCCTTGCCGGTATTCGAATGTGGACCGTCGAGTGCGCTACCGTTACACCACGAAAGCTTGCTTGAAGAAGGGCGAAAATACCTTATAAGCTATTCAGAGTAAAACCTGTTTCTCATTAATTTCGACATCATTTTATAAAACACTTAAGTTTTAATAATATTTGTTCTTCTGGCTATCGTGTATTTTATTCGATATTTGGTTTTTGTGGTTGTTAATTTCAGTGATTTGCTTTTTGCTTAATATGATATTTTTAAGACAAAATAAAAAAGAAATCTTTTAAATTAGCTTTATAGTTGCAGGATATATATATATACATAAGATGATGAACAAGTAAGATAAAATTCTAAATTTAATTTGGATTAGTCCTTTAATTGTATTTAGTTTTGCGTATTTCCTCTTTGTATCTTAAAAACGGGAACAAGCTTGTAATAAATCTCTGTGCATGTGAACTGTGTCATTTCAAAATTATTTCGTGGCATATGATTCTCATGTAATGTTCATAATGCATATATGAACATAAAGCACAAGATCTTTAAACCAATAATATTGTTAAAATTTGAGAACCCAAACCTTAATTAACTAATAGTCATAAAGCAGAACCATAGATTCAGCATTCATAATCTAGTATATCGTAATTGAGAAGTACAAATGTAATTTTTAAAGAACAGGTTTACGTCTTTTTCTTGTTCAAGTTTTGTCAAGAATAAAAGAAGTGTGGAACCGGCTATGACTACAATCACATATTTATGCACCGGCCGTATTATGTTCTACGTCATCTAGGAACACATAAAAACCTTTATTACACGCATATATCTGTACAAAGGTCTGTCAAAAACATAAGGTACAATCAACTACAATCTGATAATGGCGAGCACTAAATTAAGGAAAATTTGTTGGTAAAAGCATTTGTCCTTTACGATTTAACCGATACCTAATTTTTACTTCTTGTTCCTACAAATAAGTCACTATGGATGGTCAGTGTGAGACCCTACTGCGCTAACTTTCAGTGATTGAATTCTAGAAATCCTCAAATAACTCAATATCGATTCACGGTCCATGAAGACAATACAATAAATCATTGTGTAATGTGTATCAAATGGCTTCAGAGGTTTCGGTGTTGGAAGTGCAACACACAGAAACAGTTAACACACTGTCAAGAAGTGCAAACACACGGCCAGATAGACCATCAACATTCACAACCAATAAAAAAGCATCAGTCATTGAGGAACGTATCCGAAATAAGAGACGCATCACCACGGGACGCATCATGGAGCCCACAGGTATGTGAAAATGATCTGTATTAACGCTAGTGCCACAGCTGGAATGCAGAAAAATGTGTGTTCTCTGGGTTTCACGTCTGTTTACGAGGAAGATGATGAAAATAGGAAGAATATCTATGATAATTTTCTGTAAAGTTTCTCTCGCGATTGTCTAGAATGCTTACATAGAGTGATCAAGTGTTGCGAAACCTGGTTGTTTCATTTTGATCCGGAGAACGAAAGGCGGCCGAGGCAATAGGCATGCATTCATATAATGGAAACAAAGTTGGCTGCATTGCGGTAAAGAAAATTTATCATATACTTAGAGATACTTTCAGAGGACCAAAGGAGCAGTATTTCCATCTAAAAATTTCACTTCTCTACTGCTTACTATTATTGAGCTACAAGGGACTGTGCGTTACATTTTGATCAACCTTTATATTTGTGTAAAGACAAGCCAATAAAAAAGTTCAATTTAAAGTTTTAGGAAATGAGTGTGTGATTATGGCAAAGCCTATGATTATGGCTATCTGCCTAAGGGGAGGAATGCCTTCGTGGAGGACTTTCTAAGGTAAACTGACTCGTATACACGTTACACATGGGGAAAACCACGAAAACGCACATGCAGCCCGCCTGCTCGCGGGTTTCGAACCTCAGACCGAACTACCAGTGTTCAGCGACTTTAGGAAATGAAGCAAAAAATGTTACAGAAGTAGAAATACAATCATGGATTGAAAACAAAAAATAGTATTCCTAATTCAAATTTAAGAGGAAAACTGTAAAATTTAAAGGCTGAGAATTCTAAAACGAAAGCATGAAATCTCGAAAACAGAAAGCAACAAAAGCATGCACAAGTGGAGGAAAGGGAGAAAACTGTTAAGTTTGCTCTTGTAGTCAAAAAAGAAATACAAATTATCTGAACTTAATTCAAAGCTATGCACAAATTTCAAATCCTTAAAAAGAATGACTCAATTAAGTATTTTTACGTTATTGCAACTTCTAATATTTTTCAGCTTTTAACTCTCTGCGTAGATAGAAAATATTATTTTTGTTTTGAATTTTTAAATTTCTATTATTGTTAATAGGAGCAAAAGGGAGATTCAGTGTTTTTGGCTCAATCATATCATTTGGATATATCATTTGCTTAGACATATCTTTCCTAACTTATCATATTTCATTGCAAATTACTGCTTATTCTAACCACATTTATTGCCGTCATAATCATTATAACTACTAAATATTTTAGCTCTTTAATTCTTAAGGTGAAATTTAGTTTCTTTAATTAGTTTTTCTGTCTTTTATAAATTTTTCTCTACTTCATATGCTGCTATCTAATACTCTTATAGTTGTTTAGAAGATGATAGTTATGCTGTTATGGTAATAAATGAATGAAGTTCAACAGAACTGACTCAAATATAAAACATTTATCGCTACTTACAACCTTAAAGCGTTGTTATTACTACAACAACAGCGCTGTAATGATGTTGAACTAAGATCCAACGATACTGCGGTCAGCGATAACATTTTTGCCTTAATTGTGCTAATAATTGTTTATGGAATGATATTTTGAAAAGCTCAAATTTCTCAACAGAATATTTTTTATTACTATATTTATTAGGATGTTCTGAGATTATTTTATTCCCATAAAAGTAAATCCTTTTTTATTCAAAGAATGATTAATGCTTTAAATTTCAACCATTTGTGTAATTCAAATAATTTTTCAGACGTTCTTTTCGATGTTTACTCTCGAAGACTGAGTTACTTGAATTACATAATAGCCTAACAGGGGTTTGTTGGATAAAAACCAATGAATGTTGGCAGTTGAATCATATATTTAGTTATCATGAAAAGAATGTGCTGAGTGCATACATGTTTTCATGGGTTTTCTCATGTATAAGGTAAACATGAGCTGTTTTTCCTAGAAATTATTCCCCAAACTCCTTACTTCCATAATAAATACCACCAGAATATTGGAATCAATAAATTATCGGAAATTTTCAATTAAAATCCTCTAAGCGGCAAGGCCGTATATATACGGCCTTGCCGCTTAGAGGATTTTAGCTTTTAGAGGATAGAATACCTTTTAGCCTAGAGTATTTTTTGTGATATCTGTAAAAACGTACATATACGTGCATATTAAAATATGTCAAAGAAATTAAGGCAATATAGCAAAAGTACACAAATTCAAGTATGTAATACCAGCAGAGTTTTTACATTAAAATCAAAAAAATAATTTGTTCTCATAGTAGTTCTGGGAAATTTGTGCTTTCTTAGCGGAAACCCTGGCTTCTCAGAGAGTTAAATCACAGAAGAGTGTATGGAGGAACATTCTCATTGCAACGAGCGACAACATTCATTTTTCTCAACAAACATTAGCACTTAATTTAGAACATACTTAAATAAAGATTAAGAAAGAAAGACTAGGCATTAATATTTCAAAGTAAATAAGAGCTAGGTTTTTGCATTATTTTACGAACAGGCTTACTAATTTCAATCGTTTCAAAGTAATTGCACACATCAACTTAAAAAAGTCATCATCTTTAGCAAAAGTGATTTTACAGCACAATGTGACGTTGCAGTAGACTACGAGAGCAAAGTGTAACTTTTCTTGATGTCTTGTGCGTCCGGTAATGAGAAATGCCTTGAGAATATTATGCATAGTTATATCAAACCACTGACAGTCTGTTGGCCAATAGCAATAGTGTAACAACAATAATATGTAACAATAACATAAATTTAACACTAATTAACAACGACAACAATAACACATTTTTAAAATAAAAACCAGCAATAAGTAATCTCAAATTAAAATTATTGTGATGTGAAATATTTAAGCTATCTGAAATAACTATTACTCAAAATAGTCATTCGAAGGCAGGATAATTAATTATAGTCTTCTGCGTTGTTTACATTTTCACTTTCTCTGTTATTTATTTTTTTCTGCCGTTTTTAGAGGTAAAACTCTAAGCTGAATAAAAATAATTGCATAAATAGATTTAGTGTTGGAATTTGTTTCTATAAGCGTACT